AAGAGCGGAGGCTTAGGGGTGATCTGGTGGCCACCTATAAGTTCATCAGGGGTGCTCATCAGGATCTGGGGGAACATCTGTTCACCAGAGCGCCCCAAGGGATGACACAATCAAATGGTCACAAACTCCTCCGTGACTGTTTCAGGCTGGACATAAGGAAGAACTTCTTTACTGTCTGAGCCCCCAAGGTTTGGAATAGACTGCTGCCGCAGGTGGTTCAAGCACCTACTTTGAACGTCTTCAAGAGACATTTGGATCTTGCTGGGATCCTATGGCCCCTGCTGACTTCCTGCCCTTTGGGCAGGGGGCTGGACTTGATGATCTTCCAAGGTCCCTTCCAGCCCTAATGTTTAAAAATAAATAAATAAATAAAATGCAGCTCCTTTCATTGAAATTGGCTTGACTACTTTGATTGGTATGCTGTTTCAAATGTCAAATCATTAAGGGTGCACTGGTAAAGATTTTCTTGACCTATGCCAATGGCTGATTTTATTAACTAGCCATATCAGCAGATACCGATCTGATAGTCGGTATGCAGCCCAGAAGCTTGGAGAGCAGCATTGGGCCAGTATGTCTGTGGAAGGAGGAGGGGGTGCAGATTAAGGCCTCCACGGTGAGGGAGGGAGTGGGGCTGGGACAGGGGTAGGCACTGCCCAGGTAGGGCAGGGTGCGGGATGGAGCCACGGATGGCTTGCTCAGGGGGAATGGGGAGGGGGGCGGCTCCCTGCTGCAGGCTCAGGGCCATGGGCTGCGCTGGCTTCTTCCCACCATGTGGGGGCTGGGCTGGGGCTGCATTTGGGGCAGGTGGCAGTGGCTGGGAGGGAGGGTATGGGGGGGCTACAGGGAATTTTGGGGTGGCCATAGCCCACCCTGTAGCCTCCCTCCCAGCAGTGCTACCACGTGCCCCGAGTGCAGCCCTGGCCCAGCCCCCCTGCAGGAAGAGGCTGATGCAGCCCACAGTGGGCAGTCTGTCCTTGCCCCATGCACAAATCTGGGAGGCACATGCCCCCCATGCCTGCCCTGGGGATGTGCACAGTGTCGGGGAGCCACCTGCAGCTTCATCCAGTGCCTGCCCCAGCCCCACTACCTCCCTCACTGTGAGGGCCTGTATCTGCCCCCACACAATGCTCCGTATTTCTCCCTGCCCCCCCAACAGACTTACTGGCCAAACACTAGTCTCCAAGCTGCCAGGCTCTATTTGTGGCCGTGTGCATGCTGCAGCTACCCATGTCCATGCACACAGCATATATCAGTGACATTTTCATAGGGGCAGGCAATTATTTCAGGTGGAGGGTAGCTGCATGGGTTGCCCTGCCCCTTGACAGGTGCCCCGCCCCCTGGTCACCATCTTAGGACCAGAAGTACCACCCCCACTTAACCTCTGACCTTTGTCACCCTTGCCCCTGGAAGTACTCCATTGGGAAGAGGGTTTGCCATCTTAGGGGGAAAACCCCCCTGAAATTATATACTAAAAATCAAGCACCCATAATAATATGTGTTAATTTAATTTTAAATATATATTTTTGATCTGATTTGTATGTGTGCTGTATATGTAGAAGTGATTGTATAAAAAGCTCAAAATGCAGTCTGTCTTATGTATTGTGTGGGCTGTGCATGGATGTCAGGGGGTATCAGGTGGGGGGGAAGGTTTGCAAGGATTGGATGGGGTTAGGGGACCCCGCAGGGGAGGGGGCTGCACAGGCGGTGGCCCAGGGGAACCCAGCTGGGGCTGCATGGGAAGAAGGGACTCTGCTGCCTGTCCTAGGAGCAAGCAGCAGAGCTGCCTCCCTGTCCTCCACCCTGGGCATTGCCCCGCCTACCCCAGCCTGTCAGCACAGGTAGGGGCAACTGTGACCAGCCCCAACCCTGCACACCCCGCACTCGCCCATCCAGGCTGAGCAGCGGCGGCGGGCAGGGAACAAGCTGCTGCTCAGTATGGCATAAAAGCGGCCCCTACCCCTCCCACTGCTGGTGCAGAGGTGGCAACAGAAAGTGGGCACAGGCAGCCCTTTGCAGGCTCCAAGCAGATGAGGCGGGGAGCGGCAGCGGGGTGACCAGCCCCAACCCTGCACACCCCGCACTCGCCCATCCAGGCTGAGCAGCGGCGGCGGGCAGGGAACAAGCTGCTGCTCAGTATGGCATAAAAGCGGCCCCTACCCCTCCCACTGCTGGTGCAGAGGTGGCAACAGAAAGTGGGCACAGGCAGCCCTTTGCAGGCTCCAAGCAGATGAGGCGGGGAGCGGCAGCGGGGGGGGGGGGGTGGGAGGGGGAGGGGCCGCTTTTCTCTTGTGCTCAGCTGCAGTTTCTTCCTCACTGCCACTGCCAGCCTGGGCCTCGCACCGGCTCTGGGCTCACTCATTGAGCTGAGCGGCAGCAAGGCACATACTGCTGTTGGGGCAAGGGAAAGCACCCCCTCTTCTTGCCACCACTGGGCAGTGTTTGCTGGGGGAGCCCACACCACACTAGGTTCCGCTGCAGCTCCTTTGCCATCGGCTCTGCTGCCTAGCGCAGCTGCTCCACACAGCCACTGCTGCCCTGCTGGGCAACACGGAGCCGGCAGCAAAGGAGCCGTAGCAGAGCCTGGCATGGGGTGGACTCTGGCAAACTGTCCAGCAGTGGTGGGAGGGGGGGTGTGCTTTTCCCCTGCACTCAGCTGCAGTTTGTTCATCACTGCTGCTGCCAGCCTGGGCCACACAGCAGCTCCAGGCTTGTTCGATGGGCTGAGCAACAGCAGCAGTGGCGCACGAACTGCTGCTGGGCCGGGGAAAAAGTGGTCCCTCCCGCTGCTGGCACTCCCTGCGGCAGCTGCTTGGAGCCCACGCAGGGCTGCCTGTCCCCACGCTCTGTTGCCACCGCTGCCCCACAGGCCGGCGAGTACCCGGCGGAGGGGCATGACAGCCCTGTGTGGGCTCTGTGTAGCTGCCGCAGGGAGCGCTGGCGGCAGGAGGGGAGGGGCTGCTTTTTCCCTGTGCTGAGCAACAGCTTGATCCCTGCTCGCTGCCACTGGTCAGTCCAGATGGGTGAGTGTGGGGTGTGTGGGGTCAGGTCTGTTCGTGGCCATCCCCACCTGTGCCATGGTGCTGGAGCAAACGGGGCTGGGAGCGAGTGGGCACACAGCAGCTGGGCAGGAGTGCAGGACCCATGCTGGTGCCCCAAGGCCAGGACCAGAGGGGCCCAGAGCAAGCAGTATGAGCGGAGGCTCCCAGCTGGCTGGGGCTCTATGGAGCCTGGGCCAGCTCCCATCTGTCTCTCTGCTGGCGCAGTGCAGCCCAGCTCCATAGACCCCTGCCAGCCTGTGCTCTTGCTGCCCCACTCTGGGCCCCACGCTCCCGCATGCTCACTCCCTTCCGCTCCCTTTGCCCCCGCCGCCCCTGTCACCGCTTTTCTGCGTGCCCCCCCACGTCCTTACCTGAATTTCCCGCTTGGGACAGGGAGGCACGAACAGCTCCACGGTCCCAGGCCAGAAGCCTTTGCTATTGCAGGGGCCTGCCATGGCTTCCTTTTGGGTCTTTCTGGCCCTGGCTGATGTCATCTTTGACAGGCAGCTGGGGTCAGATAAATATTAATTTTCTAAATTTTTTTAGGGGCCCCAGAGGCCAGATTGAATGGCCTGGCATGCCGGATCTGGCCCGTGGGCCATACTTTGCCCACCCCGTGTTCTCTGCTACACCACCCAAAAAAGCCAATTGTTGATCAATGTCAATTTTCCTTTTATGGGTGCTGATC